ACAAGTATAATATAATATAAAAGTAAATACACGAAACGTAAATAGGTACAAGGTCGCCGCGTTCTTATCGTCGCCGTTGCCACCGTCGTCGTCCTGATGGACCGCTCTCTTCTGCATAGGTATGTACTATAATAGTACTGTACGGTATGCCGATGGTGTGCCAAACTATTAACTGACTATTATAAAAATATTATTTACACTCGCTACTATTGCTCGTACCGTACTACGCACACACATGCACACTAAACGTTATGATACGTATTTACTATTGATTTACTCTGATATGCACAACTACCTCACTCTCACTCTCTTTCTACGTCTCTAACAGCCACCGTTGTCGGTTATAATAATTACAATAACGTACCTATGGTAATATCTGTTTTAATATTTATTCTGAACTGTAATACTTACTGCACGCACACACGTCACTGTAGATATTAACGTCCTGCGGACCGCAACCGGCCTTCCCGATGTATGATACTGTTCGTACTTGATTATACATATAGTTACATTAGTAATTAGGTGTATTACGATTTTCTTGATACGTTTTTATTCACCGCCCAACGATTATGAAATATATTTATGCATTTTTTTTTTTTTTTTTAATACAACATAATTTATGTTAATTTTGTTTTTTTATTAATGGGTTATTTTTCGGGTTATTATGTATAGCCAATTTTATTGATCATTAAATTATTGTATGTCCATGAAGTCCTGTATCACCCTTAGAATTTTTATAATCTAAATATCTAAATAAATTTATTTGAATGCGGTTTTTTTTTTTTTACAGCAACAGTAAGAAAATCAGTAAGAAGATTGCAATTGAATGGCATAGTGCCAAAAAAGGTTTTTTTATGTAATTCAGTTTTTTTTTTTTAATTTTCAAGATTTTATCGATTAAATTATTAAAAACAGTTTAAAAATATATTAAAACTGAATGGAAATTAATTGAGTTAAAATAAATTTGGTTTTTGATTCGTAAGAGTGATATGTCTTGTTAACAAAAGCGATTCGTATGCTTTAATCAGTCTCAATAATTGGAATGTGGATTTTAATTTTAAAGTTGATTCATCTGTAAAAACAATTTATCTCCGAATATTGGATTTTAACCAATTATTTATAGTGTTCTATCACAAAACCGTTAAGTTTTTTTTTTATCATTTGCATGAAAAAATAGAAAAAATTTGATTTTATATGGCTTTATTTTATTTTATTGAACATTCTTTAAAAGCACAATTTGTTTACTCCAGCAGTCTTGTCTCCATGGCTACATACATTAATATCGTACGGATAATTTATATGAATATTATTGGCATGGTGAACATTTGTTGCGCTCTTTGGTTTACCTGACTAATTTTGTACATAATTATTACATAATAAATTTAAATTTACATTTTTAATATAATTATAAAATTGGCAAATAACTCAATACTACGTGCTGCTAAATCATACGTTGTATATAGCGTAGATATTAGAATATTTACGTGATTTTATTAATTTTCATTCAATTGTAATGCATATATTTTTTTAAACTATCTTAAAAACTATGATCAAAAATCACGAGAATTTAAAAAACTAAATTGCATTAAAGTTTCTTTAAAACTTAAACAATTAAATTCTAATTGTCAAATTGATTCCTGTAAAATAAATGCATTTAAATAAATTGATTTGCAATATAGGTACAGGGCTTTTGGCCCTTTTGGGACATACATTATTATTAAAGCGCGGATTTTTATGCACTTAAAAGTATCGAAATATGGCATATAATATGCAGTAAAAATAATGAAAATATGCAGTCAAAATTATGAAAATATGCAAAAATATACAAGAATTTTTTATTTATTTAAAATTTACAATAAAACTTATAATAATTAATTACTTAAATACTTAATAATAAATAATTTAGGAAATTTTCTAAACTTAATTTATTTTTAAAATTGTATTTATTATTAAAATTAATAATCATATGCATTTCAAGTTTTTCTTCTGTGAAGTTGTATCATTTATCGATTAACATATTTTTAAAGACTGAGAACGAACGTTTGACGTCAACCGAAGTTATTGGGGCATATTTGAAGCAACTTAGTATTGTCGGATCTTGATAAAGATCTTCAAGATGAACGTTTTCACTTAATAACACTGAATTAATTTTTCGTAGAATTTTCAGACCTTCATTTTTATTGGAAAGCTCGTTTAATTTTGTTGTAAGTGTTACACCTTTCAATCCAGGAATAGAATGCATTTTTTCTTTCGTTTCGTCAATTATTGAAAAGCTTAGATATAAAGTCATATTTCGAGTTTCCAGTTTTTTTTATGACTATTTTTATCACTAAAAATGCCAAATGAATAGATATAAATTTTAAATCATTCTACTTGACAAAATATTATCCTATACATTTTTTTAAATTTTCGCTTCAATATGCAATAAATTTTGAATTTTGTCAAAATATGCAAAAATATGCAATAACCTTCAAATATGCAGAAATATGCAAAAAAAAATTTCACCATTAGCTTCAAATTATGATAATTCGTGGAGATAACTGACAAAAATCCAAAAATATTAAAAGGAAAAAAATATGCAATGGCATAGAAATCCGCGCTCTAATTATTATAGTCCGACAACTAGGCAATAATTTACAATGGCTTTACATATTTAGTACACGGCTTAAAAAAAACATTTTAAAATTTCAAAATATAATCAAGGTGTAATATATTAAGTATAATAATAAATTAATTAACTATACCCATATAGTTTAAATGTATATAAATACTCAAGAAAATTCATTATAACACTATTATTACTATTTATCATAAGGTTAAATACACAATAGATTACGTAATAAACCTATTAGTTAAAATTCATCTTTTTCAATGTTAAACAATATGTACAAACTTATATTAGTACAGGGACTAACTACAGTCGGAAAACATTTTTCAATTTATTATTGTGCTTCGAAAGGTAGATATTATAGTAGTACAACTGCAGATTATTACACGACAACATAAAGAATTGCACTCAGCTCACTCTCACTCTCACTATAACGCCCACTTAAATAAAATTATACATATAGACACAACATTATCGAACTATATAGCTATAGCTGTAAATAACTGCATTGCTTGCAAGTGCAACGAAAACGTCTGAAGCAATCACTACAACCGCCAAAATATAATATAATTTACGAAAAAAAACTCATGATAATAATTTGTATGTATAGATATACTTACATAGTCACTATACCATATATTAATAATTATTAAAAAATAAATATTAATATAGATAATACATTATTTTATTATATTTTTACGTTTGTCGTATAATATAGGTTGGAATAGTCACCGAGACGTAATCAATATTATTATAAATTATAATATTATATATTTTTTTATGAAATTTTCGGATATATCTATGTTCAATATACAACAACTATTATAAGATAATAAAGTTGCAATAATAATAATACTATCTTCTTAGCTAGCATTATGCATATTACATTGATGAAGTTCAAAAAAACAATAATGTTATCTGTTACATTATAGTTAATATAGTAATAAACTTTGGTTAGATACACTTATCTACTATTTTTTGCTTATTTTCTTTCAATAATTCAACTAATTTCATGATTAAAAATACAATACATTATAAAATGTTATGGTAAATAACAATATTAATTTGAATAACATGTATTCATGATTAAATAAATTACTGTCTGAAGACAGGTTTAAAAATATTAAGTAATAAAATAGTATTTATTATAAAGACATGAAAGTATTTTTAAATGTATTTAAGTGTTTGCGATAAATAAATCTATACCAAAGAAGTTCCCTAAATTCATAAAAATATATTTTGATTACCTATTATTTAAATAAAATAATTTTGTATTTTTTAAAGACAGATTTAAGGTAATTGTATAGGTAGACACATGAAAACATAATTAGTTTTATTGAAAATAATAAATTTTGTTCATTTCTACATAATATAAGTATACCTACGAGTAGTTTTGTTTTTAATATTGTTTGCATTACTGTTAAATTAATTATAACTTTCCGTCAAACTGAACTCCTAAGTCCTATAAGTCATACTAATGTAACTTTGGTGACTTGCTTTTTGTAGTTTACATTTTGTAAATATTTTTGAGAAAACCTATTTAAGTTAATCAATGTTAAGTGACATGATGTCGTCATCATTACAAGCAACAAAAATTATTTATATCAGTTTGTATGTCTTTGACATCGTTTACATTTGATATAAATTTTAATATTTTGGTATAATCTGAAATACATTTTAGTATTTTAAGTTTAAACGATTCTGCAATATGCATCGTTATTCAAATCGTCGTTCAATTTTATGACAGAAAAATTAATGCCAATAAATAAATGGTCATCTCGAAGGACTCCTAGCTGAAGTGACTGTCTACAATTATAAAATAGATACTGTAGTCGATACATTTTACCTATTGGGTTCTTATATAGATAGAAAATATGAAAACAAGGCGATTACATGTGCCAATATAATAATCGTAAACCTAACAAATAATATATGCGTATAGGTACAAAACTCGGTTCGACCATTTAATCGATCGCCGAACACATAACATTATTATCGTCATCATACGTCTTATAGTGGTGATCGTCATCGACGACGGCATATCTATAATGACAAATATAAGTATTACTCGTGTGTATTATAAATAAACCTCTCGGGAGGCCGATGTCGCGATCTCGTAATCGGACGGTTGTTACTCAATCGCGCACGGTGGCAGACGCTATGTGGTATGATAATAATAATAATAATAATAATAATAATATAATGATAATTTAACTATATACCACCGTAAAAATAATAATGATACGACGACGACGACGACGACGACGTGAAGGCTTAATTAGTGCGTGGCGGGGACGACTTTCCCGGTGACGGCAGGCAGAGGACCGTGCGCGGCGCATGTCGCATTACATTTTACCTATACGCGACGTGCTGGATATTCACCAATACGTCCCCAGTCCCCAAAACGACGCAGTGCCCCCCCGAACGCTACTCGACATCGCGCTCACACAGCGTCGACGGCAGCGACTGTGCCGGCGGTCCGTCAACAGTACCTCGAAGACGCTAACACCAGCAACAGCAACAGACCAACACCGGAGCACCAGCAGCCACAATATTTTTTTTTTTTTTTATACTAGCGAAGGTTGTTCATGATCGCATTACACAATCGTTATTAATTTATTATTAAAATATCGTTTTATCGACTCGCCGAATCCGACTTCGCCGTGCTGTATTTAGCACATCATATTATTATAATATAGCAGTGGCGCGTTATTCGTCCACGTTTCGTTTCTCGTGTTGCCATTGCGCATTTTTCATCGTAACCGTGACACCGGAAACGCGAAATATAATTATTCAAACCACCCCTGCAGTGCAGTCCCGAGGGCGGTAATCCGCACTCTCGCACTACCGTCGTAAGTGTGATACATATATATTCATAATAAAATACGTTAATACGTTTTTTTTTTTTTTACTCGCACCGCTCACTATAATTACCACACACGCATCAGACATGATATTATTATTATACCCATAAATTATTTTAATCACTTTAATTTACCTATTATATCGGTCGGGTTGGGATTTTTATTTGTCCGGACAGCATCATTTGGCGTTTGCAACAACGTTTATCGTAGTGACACGCCGCCAACGATGAGGACCATCGGCAGCAGCAGCACAAGCTGCAACGTCGTGATTTTAACGACCGTCGCGCTAGTCGTCGCGACCGCGGCCTTTGAAGATTTCAACGCCGCTGTGCCGTCACTACGGGTAAATAATAATATTATCACTGTTATAAAATAATAATTATTATTTAAGGCTAATATTGGTCATGTATCATTATCCCATTATGTCGTATATACAATGTATATATAATACGTATATTTGCATTGATGGTACGTGTGATACTATATACTACTAAACATTTATAAATTTAAATATATGATAACAACAATAAATTGTATTAATAATATTGAAATATATATTCACGGTGATAAATACCGATGAGGAGTGCAGCTTTACTAATAATTAAAAATACAAGTATAATAATAAACTAGATAGGTACTATAGTTTACGAGAATATCTCGTGATGGAAACGTTCTCAATATTATGCAAAATAATATTAGATTTGGAAGACGATTTCGTTTCGCCCAATTGCAAGGGGGTCGTTTTTAAAGTGCTTAACCTTCTTATGACATTCTCGTATCATTGTACTATTTTATGGAATAGGAATTATAATGTATATAAGTATTATCAGCTCTAATATTTTGTAGATTTTATTTAGCGTTTTTTGCTCTATTTTGACAAAAATCACGTTAAAAGAATTTAAAAAGCTTTGTACATTATGCTTAAATTAATATATAAAATCATATTTATTTCAATTGAATACTATATACTATAGTTAATCTATAGATAGTATGTATATGTACTAATTGAAGACAAGTGCGTTGATTTCACTTTTTATACACTAACGAAAAAGTCTCTCGTCCCTCTATACAGCACCCCGGGAATAACTCACAAAAACTTTGTCGCACACGTAATTGTATTATTAAACGATTCACATTAAATCAATAAACACATGTGTAATGTAACACATTCGTAATTTCTGTAATCCAGTATATGTCGTAATTCGGGAAAAAGGTAAACGATTAATGGTAAAAAAAATAACGTGTTGTAACGAACATGAAAAAAAGTTACAAATTAAAATGATTTAACGAATTATTTTTTTTTTTTTTTTAACAATTTATAGTAACCGCTACGAAAAACAAATTATTTATAAATAATTTTTGTAATTTTGTAACAACCGTCCGTTTTTTATTTTATTTATTTATTTTTTCGGTAAGGCAGTTGAAATTTAATCATCTCTCTGGATTTTCCGACCGTAGCAAAACGCTGCTTTTGCACTTAGATTAATGCGGTTGTGCAGTATTAATATGATAATAATATACAATGACAATGACACGGGCGCGCGCGTACAATAATTTTATTCGTCCGATCAATGATATAATAATAGTAATAATATTATAATATGATATTATGATAATACGAGCATAATAAATTGATAATGTTATAATATTCGGCGGCGGCGGTCATCGTCCGGCACAGCGACGGCGGGGCACGATTTTATAATCACTCGCTTCCCAATAAGTGGTTCAATGACGACCGCCGCGGCTCAGACCCGTCGGTGCGTACGCGCGACGGCGATCCAAGGTCGCCTGCCGGCTATCTGCCGATCTGTAGTGACCCACATTCACCGAACCGTTGCCGATGCTCTTCGCCGACGCCGTCATCGTTCGCGCGCGCCGCCGTACCGTAGCTCCTCGCTCCGCGCGCGATGTACCTGGACAACAACGTCACTGTCGCTTTCGCCGACCGATCGTTGCTTACCACCTGGCCGGGAGAACGGCTGATTATAGTGTGTGAGTGAGTGAATATATGTGTGTGTGTGTGTGTGTGTATAATCACACGTATCCAGTTCCGTTGTTGTAGGCCAAACGACCGTGTTGGACGTTGCCCGAGGGTAGTGGCGCAAGCAGAAGGGCGTAAAAATTAAATTTTAAATTAAATATCATTATTTTTTTAATTGCCCAATAGCATTGCGTTTTTAATAATAACACCGCAGTTCGTTATCACCATTATTATTATTATTATTATTGTTGTTGTTGTTTTAACTGTTATCAATGCGAGAAATAATCATTTCAATATCGTTTCAAATAATATCGTTCGGTGTTATTATTATAATTAATTTTTTTTTTTTTTTTTCATGGTAAAATTGTAATTCTAGGTTCTCACCTAAGGGCGGCCCTGGTTAAAAACGATTGGGATATTTAATGCTATACTACACAGTGTTGTACCCGCGTCATACGCGCAATTTAATATAATAGAAACGAGTATATACTTATAATAATATTGCTAATGGTAACTGTACAACACCTTGTGCATGCGGTTATTATAATATACACTATGTGGTATACGCGTGTTACAATAATTTTTATTCCTCGCATAAATCATAATATTACACGAGCTTATGTATTTGTTGGAACGTATACGTCTCGCGGTACCTTCAAATATAGAGTAGTAACAAATTGCTTACTCTTGAATTTTGAATGAAACAATTTATGAATAAACTATAGGTTCAACTCATATGTTATAAAATAAAAATATACAATCGCAAAGTAGAATAGAAAAGTTACAGATATAATATGATACCGTGTTACATAATAAAAAATATTCAACATAATTATGTTTTGCCGATTACAAATAACAAGTCGGCGCCTAACGGATTTAGAATTTTGAACAATATTGGTCAACCAAGAATTTTTAAATTAATTTACAGACTAAGATGACAGCGCATTTTTAATTAAAATAATGTATTGGACACCGATGTGCAGTAAATACATAAAAAAGAATGGAATAATGATTCACGTTCTAAAACGAGTTAAAACTCAATAAAAATTATTACAGTCATAACTCGTTTGTTAGCAAACTAACACGTATTTCCACCCAGTGTGTGTACACTATATACATAACATAACAAAATTATTTAATGCACAAAGAAACTGAAAGTGGTCACTCGTTTTAGATCGCTACTTTTGCACAGATCAGTATTGTACGATTAGTTTAAATTTGAAAGTTATATAATAAGTCGACTCGTTCATAAAATAGTTTTAATATACACAGTATTATACTGTTATATCAGTAAATATTAAATATTTATAAATAAAATGAATAATCGCTAATACGTTTAAATATAGTATTTAATTTAATAAAAAATATGATGATTTAATCAAGACAATTCACTAATTGTCATAATTAGAACATGCTTACATGCACGAACTATATTTTCGATTGGATTGAAAAATATGGTCAGATTACATACATATATTTTAGGTATTCAAATAAATGGTATTAACAAAAAATACCATAAATGTTTTTTTTAAATAAAAATTATAACTTCATATATTTTTTAGAATTATTTATAGTTACTTAATTTAATATCAGTACCTACTTTAAATTATTATTAGCTGATTTACAATAAACTATGGGTTTTTTATTTTCGTTTATACATATTATAATATTGTGTATTGTTGTACGCATGCTTTTTATTAAAAAATGTATTTCTTGTTGCTATTATTATAACAGAAAATTCTTTTATGATAATATAAACATTTTTAAGCACTTCTCAGTTGTATGTGAGTAATTTTTTTTTCTTAATGGATTCATATACCTAGTTCTTATTACTCTATAAGCTAGATAATTGACAAATCATCAATTTTGGTTTACTGTTTTCAATTATGAACCTTTTAAATTAGAAAATTTATTTAGAATTTTATTTTAAATAATATAAAAACACTTCATTTGGATATGAGAGCTATATATTTATATACTTTGTATTCATCTTTTATTAATTTAAATCAAATTCGAGTGATTCGACAATACATTTTTAATAATAAGAACTACTTGAATCTATTGAAAAATTCAGTTGATTGTATTAATGAAACAATTAAATTCTAAAGACATTTTAAATTATTATAAATTAAGTTTCATAATAAATTAAAAAATTATACCTATTTGAGTTTTTTTCAAATTCAATTTTATCAATGGATAATAATTAAACAAAATTCCTTAAGTACGACGAAAATACTTAGATACACTTTTTTCCATTGCATTTTTTAAGAATGTAGTATACATAAATAATTTAATAGATATTTATCAAGATTATTGTTGGTATATCGTATACCTATTATCATTACTTATTATTGAAAGTAGGTATAATTAGCTATTCCAAAAATTATCTTTTCAATGTAACAATAATTGCAATTATAATTTGGATTAATTCATAAGATTTCTAACATTGATATTTTCTAAAAAAAAACTTAGTGATGAAAAAAAAAAATTCATAATTTTCCTAGTGAAAATTTTTAGCTTGTACAGTTGTACCTTTCAGATTCAGAGTTTGAAATTAATATTATCTTTACTATTTATACGTTGTCGTAGGTTTAATAGTTATTTTATTTTGACTAATTTTCAAATAATTCATAGGCCAACCTCAATGGTGAACCACAGAAGCAACTACTGCGTGAAACTAGATCTTTAGACGTCATCACTCGGTTAATAGGTAGTAGCAGTGGGACAGTGGCTGGATCATCATCTGCTGGAACTGTAAGTCATGAATTAATTATGTTTCAATATAAAAAATGTATGTTTATTTAAGTCTTCAACTGTAATTTAGGTGAAATTTTACTAATACACAATGCGTAAATGCGTATACACTTTTAATATAAAATTAAAAAAATTATCACGTTACAGGTGGACGGAGGAGCAGCTTCAGCACCGGCCAATGGTGGCAGTGGCAGCGGATCCATACTAAATCTAGTCGCCCCGTTGGTGGGCAGCAGCAGTGGCGTAAGTTTTATAATTATAAATAATACATTACCACCTGAAACTTACTTATCCACTACGTACATATTTAATTCATATCTGTTTCTTTATATACGTATTTGATATAGAGCGTCAGCGCTGGATCCTCAGGAACCGCATCCGGTTCAGGAGATGTCAGCAAAACCGACGGAAGTGGGCCGGACTTGGCTGGTCCAAATGGTGCCACTGGTGGCAGTAGCTTTTCCAGTATTCTATCTCTTTTGGGACCCATATTGGGTAGCAGCAGTGGTAGTGGTGTAAGTTTCTATTATACAAGATGATAATAATAATATATTATTAGTTATTAGGTACGCGCGAGCGATTTTGTAGTAAAACCATTATAGTTTATATTTACAATTTAAGATTTAAGCAAGTTGTAATTAGGTTTAAATAAAAAAATAAAAAATATATATATATTATAATTTATAATTATAAATATAAAAGTATAATATTTGTGTAACCTAACCTGGTAGGGTAATGGTGGTGATCCAGGAGACAATGGCAGTGGAGGTTCCGAAAGTCCAGCTGGTTCTAATGTCTTGAGTTTGTTGACCGGTTTATTAGGTAGCAGCAGTGGGTCAAGTGGTACTTCATCTGGCAGTGGTGGCGGTGGTGCTAGAGATTCGTCAACAGGCGGTGCAGGTGATGATACGGTTAGTAATTTTTACTAATAAATACATATAATCTATTATTTAAGCGTATTATTGTTTTATAAATATAGAAATAATTGTGTGTTATTATATGAGTATTTGAATGTGTGTGTACTTAGGGTGCCGGAGCAGGTAGTTCAGGATCTAGTAGCATATTGCAACTGATTGGGCCACTGTTAGGCAGCAGCAGCGTGAGTACTTATTTTTTTTTTCGTAATAAAATATACAACACTGTAGGTATGTATTTTAATGTTACAGTTATTTAATAGATTAGTTACTATGTATTATACCACATCAGCAGTAGCACTGTATTATTATTATAATTGTAAATTAATATCCGTTACAGCAATAGTAGTAGTGTTTAGAAATAGCAGTATTTGTAAATTTTTATATTTAACTTAAACCAAAACCTAAGTTGTGATTTTTTGACATTTTACTATTATAGTGACACGCCAAAATGTATAGTCATCGACGCGTTTGAAGTACATAATAGTAGACAGTAGTATTGTAATGCAAATTCATCAATGGTGTTATTATGTCACCGCGATTGAAGTGACTTAAAATATTGATACCATAACTACAAACACAATCAATCCTAACATCGTGCCGTTGTTTCATTGCATGATATTTTATATGTACTTATCACCAAAAGTATCAAACATCACCGTATTAGTAGTCTTTAGATTTGTATTTATATAATATTATAAACACGTCGGAACTAACACAGTGTGATTTTCTATCACACATGTGCGTGTATAGGAAGAGGAAAACTCGGATCCTAGAGGAAGTCGTCACAACGATGATGACTTAACGGACGATACAACTGACTACTTAGGTGATGGCAGTAGCAGTAATACCATTGACATAGACGTTAGAAGTGGCAGTCTTAGGAATTCGTTGAAGACGCCATTATTTATCATGAGAAGTAAAAGGGCTGTACCAAAAAATATGGATGGTGAAATCGATGTTGACGATTACGATAACGAAGTAGATGGACCATTGAGTGATGATAACAATAATAATGCAATGACGAATTCAACGGTGACAAATGGAAATGGAACTGAAAACATGATGGCTGTGGCAGTACAAAATAGCGAAGGCGAAACAGGTGCCAGCAGCAGTAATGAAAGTGATAGTAATGAGGGGGGAGGGGGGAGCTCAAATTCTGGATCAATTATTGAATTAGTTGGTCCTCTTTTAGGTTCATTGAGTGGCGAGGGTGGTGGTATTGGAGGGTTAGATTCCGGAACAATACTTGAATTGGCTGGACCTCTTTCTGGAACCATAAGTGGTGGTGGTGGAGGTGAGGGAGAAAATGAAAGTTCAGACTCCGGATCAATACTAGAATTGGCTGGTCCCCTTTTAGGTTCATTAAGTGGTGGGGCTGGTGAAGGAGGTTCAGATTCTGGATCCATATTGAATTTGGTTGGACCACTATCTAGAACATCAAGTGGTGGCAGAAATAGTGATAGTAATGATGACGACGAGCAAGGTAGTGGTGATAATGAAAAGAAGAACAATGATGGTGACAATGGAGGGTCATCAAACTCCGGATCGATAGTAGAGCTTGCTGGACCATTGTTAGGTTCACTTAGTAGTGATAATGAGGGAGGTTCAGATTCTAGTTCTATATTAAATTTAGTCGCTCCATTATCTGGTTCATCTAGCGGTGGTGAAGGAAGTAGTGGTGAATCGGATTCTGGGTCTATTTTAAAACTCATCGGGCCGTTATCTAGTTCATCGAGCGGTGGTACTGCATCAGAAACAGAAAATGGTAGTGGTGGATCTGATTCAGGATCTGTCTTGAATTTAGTCGCTCCATTATCTGGTTCATCTAGCGGTGGTGAGGGAGGTGGTAGAGAATCAGATTCTGGGTCGGTTTCAAAAACTACTAAGAATTCAGTAGCGAAAAGTCCGATACTAGCCAATTTGTTTGCGACTATCTTATCGCAATCTTCTGCTGGTGCTGCATCTGCGTCTGCCTCCGCATCTTCATCATCTTCTACATCACTGGCTGTGGCAAGTAAAATAAAAATATATCGTGTGTACACAAAGACGGTGATTAAATATAATTGTACCGTTTTACTTCTTACCATACCTTACGATTAGGACTTAACTTAATTAAAATAATAAAAATGCCTTACTACCCATTTAAATATTAATAATATTGTGCTGCAGTGGTTGAACGGTACTGATACGTACACATGGTATAATACACAATTTAGGTACAAAAAGTTATGAGCTAAACTTATTTAATTTCATAATTACTTTATAGGGTGGAAACGGTGGTGACGGTGGCGATGGTACCAACGGTGGTGCCGGCGGTGGTTCCGACATTTTGGGTTTCTTAGGATCGAGCAGCGGTTCTAGCAGTGGAGGACCTGGGGGAAATGGAGCCGCTCCAGCTTCTGCCACCCCGGTAAGGAGGCGTCAGATCGGAGACTTTTTTCTTCGACCATTCGCAGCAAACTCTAACGAGCCAGATGTCACGTACACACAATTGTTAAACGACCGACCCCGGGACTTGCGTCGCCGGTTGTGGTTGTAAATCACTTGTGGCAGCGGTAACGGCGGCGGGAGTAACATACACTCGTTAAATAGTACCTAGTATAATAGTAATTGAACACCAACACCAGCTAAAGCTCACTTTATATGTATATATATATATAATAATAATTAAACTGACCGACAATAAGCGTCAACCAATGTTTAGGTCATAATAATTGTCGTTTATACGACGATGGTGCGTATATTTATACATAATATACATAAATAAAATGTGTTAGAAAATTACGAATTAACGTACGGATAAATCAAATATGGATGGCGACAACGATGATAAATTTGATACGAAAAATATTTTCGTCACATCTGTACCACTCATCGAGTACCCTCTTAATCTTTCACGCATTCTCTCTCACTCTCTCTCTCTCTCTTTATATATATAGGTATATCTCTGGTTATATTATGTTATATTCACTGATGCATAAATTATACGAAAGTTTTCAAACTTGTTATAAAGTACAGAAGCTGGTTGTATTTTTGAGAGTGAACGCTTGCGTTGAAATGTTGATTTACTAATTCCATATATGCATAATTTATATGCTACACACTTATATATGCAGAAATTTATTAAAAAGAAAGTAAAGTAAAAATTATTTTCATAGCATTATAGAATAATATACTATAATATGTAAAAAAAAAAAATATGATATTGTGTTTTAGGAAACATAATACCGATTACTTTGTAATTATTCAAACGGTGAAATGGATAAAGATCAAACATTAATAAATACATTTTCGATTTTAATTTATCACAATTTATACAATTTAATTGTATACGTTTTGTGAAAAAAACTCGACTCGCGAGACTTACAGTTTAACTAACGGACTACTGTTTTCTCGAATACATTAAAAATTCATCACTAATAATATTTCTAGTCTTTCGTCGTCGGCGTCTGTTTTTGATTGTTCATCCGTATGTTGTTTTAATAAATTATATTTAGTTATCAAACCTATATAATGTATATTTATAATATATATTATATGTTTATTTATAAATTTATTAGTTAAATTTAGCTTATATAAACTTATTTGTGTACACGCATGTATTATGTATGCACTATGTATGTGTGTGTATACAAACAAAACGCCATATTATCATTGTCATATACACTTAAACATCATCGCATTATGTTCTTTTTTTTTACAATTAATATAATTTATTATAAGACTTAATAATAACGGTAGTTATGACTTAATGAGTTAATGATTTGTAGTTGTAGTAATCCACACATATTATACATCAAAATCTAGAATAGTATAATGGTAGCGGTTTATAGTATTGAATATTAATTTATATTTTTTGTAATACAAGTAGACCGGTGGTAAAAATAATTATTGTAGTCTTAAATAATTTTAATATTATTTTGCATAGTATACTGTACATACTATTATAAGACGGGAATCAAAACGCGATATGATGAATAGGACTAATTAGAAAAAAAATGTTTTGTTAAAATATATAATGTTTTAACAAAATCCTTATCGTCAATATTGTCGTGTAGCTATTAAGTATATAATAATTATTATAGTGTGTATAATCATAGATTAAATATATTTAATATATTTAATCTATGGTATAATATAGAAACCGCATGAGTATTTTATTTTGTGTTTGCACGTATTTTTACGTTCTTATGTCCTCGATCATAACTCCAAATCCTTTGTGCCATGAGCATTATGATTATGATTAATTTTATTTTCTACTACAAAGAAAATAGAACAGAGAACAGTAGTCATAATAATGGCAAAAAAACAGTGCACCTCCATCATTACCACACCACGCACTAACCATCAAAGGTAAACCGTATAAGTAAAAACTGTTATCAACGAAGTTTTACAAATGCAAATTACAATTACACATCAATGAATAACGGCTGGTGGATACAATATTATATTATTTAGTTAGATATTTTTGATACAAAATAATATTTACTTTTGAAATAAATAAAAATGTTATTATTACCTGTATTTAATTACATGAAAGTGATAATGGTGCCGTGTTTTTGTTATTACATACAACTATATATATTTGCCGATTTTTTAGGAGCAGAAACCAATGTGGTGCAAAAAATGTGGTCTATTGACAGCTATTAAGGATGCTTTTATGGTGAGTATTTGTCGTCTGTATACGCGCATAGACATTAGACAGAAATAATTCATGTATTGTACAATAATTGGTCTTAAACCATTCAAAATTATTTCCATCTATATATAATAATAATTAATACGCTTGTATACTGCTGGCTGCACGATCTATTTAGCATTTCTTATTTGATAAAATAGGCATACTCTTATTCAAACTACAGTACAACATACTTCAAATGATATAAATATCTAACACTGAAATTATCGTTGATTTTATACATACTTTTCAGTGTACCTAGAAGCAAGATGCTTGAAAAAAAATATAGATTAAAGATAATAGATACATTAATTTGTACCTATAGATAAAAAACACAATAAATGTTCATGATTTGATTTTTCATTGATATTAATAGTTTTTTTAAAATATACTAAGTAAATACATTTAGTCATTTAGATTCTAAGTAGAATAATAAGGGTATTGTTTTTTTTTGTCTAATAAAAATTGAATCTAGTTAGTACTTTGGGAGAAGAAGAGAGTCAAAATTAAAACAATAATTTTCAATATAACCTGTAAAAACTAAAAACAACAAAAGAAATAAAGCAAGACAGGAGATTTTACTCAAAGTATTTAACAAAAATTTATAATTTTCGGTGTAATTCAAAAATAAAAAATCATAGATGCTTGTATTTTTCAAAATGTGTTTATCATAACATTTTTTAATTTTATATACATGATGTTAAAGTCTTAAAAATATTTTGATTATTTTTAAACTATTCATAGATATTTTCGCTTTTTTTTTGTTAACTATAAATTTCAAAAAACATTAACACAAATAAAAATATACACTATTATATTTATAGCTGAGAAAAATGCTGCCAATTAAATACAAAGTTCTTAGATTTTTTTCATTTACCAAAATATTTAAAATACAGTCATGATATTTTTTGAAAGCGTTTAAAGTTAAAATTTTGGAAAAATGCATTAAAATCGAGAATATTTATTAAATATTTCTTAATAGAAAGATCATAAAAACATTATTTCTTTTTATATTTAAGAATTTAAAATTTAATACACAAGATTTCTCATTAGTTTTTGTATCATCTATGAAAAAAAAAGGTTATCGAAAAACCACGTTAATCTTTTATGACCATTTAGAAATTAAAATACAAGCTTTTATGACATTAGATATTATATTATACTTTTTACTAATTCAAAATGTTTGATATTTTGTTGTAATTTAAAAACAAACAACTGTAGATACTTGAAATTTTCACCAAATATTTATGTTAGCACTTCCTACAAATTTAATATATCCATTACAGTAATCCACTTAGCATCTACTTATTGTATAATAGCAAACTGGTACCCACTAACCCACCAATTTTTCAAAAAATAATTCTCTAAGTTGTTTTAAAGTAAAATATAGTTCTTAGAGTTTATTTAACCTAGTATAGTTATTAGCTTTTAGTTATAAAAACGAATCTACATAATGTAAAATACTTATAATGTGTGTCTTATGGTAAACGAATCTCATTTTATATAAACTTAATCATAATACTATATCGTATAGAGAAACGAATGATAATAGTATATATTTCTTAAAAATATAGGTAATTAAAATAATTAGATTTACATATATAAACATCTATACATAGACACATCTGTGCAACTAGGGTAATATTTTATATTATGTTCTTGAATTCGATGAAAAATAAGTATTTTCAATATTTGTTTTATTAAACAAATATATCGATTATCAAAATATCGTACATAATAATTTACAATTAAAAATGTATGGCCTTGCTCAAAGTAAGAATTAATTTCTATGATCATCTTATCATAGCATTATACCACAGATTTATAATTCTATTCTGTAACCATATATTGACTTTATTAAATTGTGATTACTATAAAATAATAAGGAAACGATTAGTATTGGTTATATTTATATACATTTATTTAAAATAATTTTCTCAAATTTATTCAATATGGTTTAATTACTTTAAGTTGTCATTATGTTGTCAGTTTCCTATGCAACACCTGAGCGCGCATTTTCTTCTATGAGACAAATAAATACTTACCTAAGATCTGTAATGGATCAATAAGTTTCAACAACTTATCTACACGGAATATTAAAAAAGATATAAAAATCGATCCTAAGCAAATTAAACAACAATTTACAGTCGTGAATATAAGAAAAATAAAACTTAATTCATTTATTAATAATAATTAGTCTATAATGTACAAATATATCATTGAATTTTATACATAAAAATTATATTAAAATACATTTTTGATATCTTTGTACTGACTGTTCTTTTAAATGTGTGGGAAGTGTAGATAAAGACACCCCAGGGGTCACCTTTTGCATAACATTGAAGAGACGCTTTAGCCCCTGTATAGGACTTTGTACTAGTTGCACACACACTATTTTCTACGCTCGTCGCTCAATATTAACATATATATTTATTACTTGAATGAATTATTCATGTTTTTATTTTAGTTTATTAAGTCCACCCCCTCCGTAGTGAAAAATAAATACAAGTGTATTATTTGAATACTGACGTATAGTAGATCGACGTATTCGAGAATTCTGTTACTGGACAACTTTTCTCTGCATGTTACAAAAAAAAATGGTTAAAAAATAAAATGGGCACCGTCGGAAAATTTGATTATTACACACGTTGCTATGTCGCATAGGTACCGTAGATATCCTATAAAATGATGAAAACAATAAAAAATAATCTTCATTTGTATCTTTTATATTGACGTAAAACAATTTAAAAAGATACAAAATGTACGAGAGAAAAAGACGTATCTAGATACTGCTGCTTATCCCCGTGAATGCAATAATTGATGGCCATGCAATTACACTTGCGCATATGTATCGAAATAAGAGGCTAAGCTTTTAATGCTCGATGATTGATTGTGGACGACTGATTCGACCGCAGGTCGGTAGATATAATTAAAAAGCTTAAATCGGATGTCCAATAATACGCGGTAATACGCGTGACGAGGGTTTTAAGGTCCTGGCAAAAAATTTAAGCACAAAGCACAGGGCACCGACGGCACGGCTTACATACGTCACGCGACATTAGACACACCAAGTTCACATTGTTCGTAAAGTAAAAATCGTGTCGTTTCGACAATGTTCACGGATCAATATTATACGATGTGCCGTAGGTTAAGATGAACGCGTTCTTCAAGTCGTCGTCGTCGCCAGTCCCAGCGCCGAGCGGACAACAACGTCTCTTGTCGGCGTCTCCGTGGACGGATTTAATGATGCCGCCGCAGCCCGCTCCGCCACAGTCGTCGTGGAGGCCGTCGCCTGCCCCGTCGTATTGGTGGTCACCTCCTTCGTCGTCGTCGAATTGGTGGTGGTGGTGATGACGAACGTATCGTACGACGAACAAATCGTTGGGACATAAAAAAAAAAAAAAAAAAAAAAAAAAAAATGACATATAAAGCATATACACAGGCTACGTACCCGCAACACATTACGTTACGTATAATATTGTAATAATTGGAATTTTAATCGATGCGTAGCGCTATATTACATTACTAAATAATATAATATAATTATTATTTTTAAAAACGATTGCATTCTGTACACGAATACGCGATTTAAGTACACAGCGGTATAGTACGATTCGAAATAATGTAATATGTACTCGCAATAAAAATATCATTGTATTTTTAAAATGTCCATAAACATATTTATGTAAAATATTTTTTTATTATTATAATTATTATTTTTCATTCAATATTTTTATTTTTAGACCAATCTTAAAATAATTATTTATATTTATATATACATGTTACATTCAAAGTCCGGAATTGTACATTTTGAAATTTGTACAATGATTTTTGTACACATTGCGAAGTGTACAATGTTGCTGTACAAATTAACTAGATTGTACAAGTTGCGTTATACAATTCGCGATGTGTACAATAATCACTAATCACTGTACAAATTCCAAAGTGTACAATTGTTGTACAAATCATAAAATTTAAAAATATATTCTAAAAATTACAATATAATAACTGTTATGTTTTAAAAGTATTTTTTTAATATTACATATTACGTATTGCTTATTAGTATACCATATAAAAATAGATATACCAAGTCTTTACATATTAATATACTACAATCATTGAACAAATTACAAAATTTAAAAATATATTATAAAAATAAGAATTTTTCAAATAAAAAAAATATTATTATAAAACTACACACACACACACATATATATAGTATCTTCAAATACTTAATTTATTATTTTTTTATAATTTTCTTCATTAGCTATGACCATTGAATTTACACTTAAATTAATATTTTTAATTTTTTCGTCAAACAAATTTTTAAAATTAAGATTATTTTCATTTTCACTCGTTTTGCCTGATTGTATAATACTATAATCAATCTAATATAAAATAAAATATCGGAGCAGTTTCGCATACAATGCACTAGTCCGTACTAAAATCTGTTTAAATTATATTTCTGAACGACAGTATCGTTAAGTCGATTAGATAAAATTTATCATTTTTATTCTATTATACGTTTACTATATGTTAGATTCGAGTCTATGTGAAAACCGCGAAAAAAAAATCGCGAAAGATTTTAGCAGCGAAAACACTAATAGCGAAAAGTAAGAAAACCTATATATAGGTACGTAGAATAACGTATATCTTTATAGGCTATTTGATAAAATATATATTATAAATAGGGCTGGGATTATAACTTATCTAATTTATCGGCGAGATTACGGTGTATAATTTAATTTAGATTCTAGATCTAGAGTTTCCACCACTTTTAACTGTAATACATTTGTTTTTTTTTTTTACTAGTGGTGTTCGCGCAAGTTTTCGGGTGCTATGAAATAGAAATTAGAGACTCCTCTTCCTGAGGTCAATGGTCCCCTACAATATGTTATTTTGAGATCAATTGTCCGATATTAAGCTTTGATTAATAGGTCAACGGCCGTCAGAATTAGCTATCAATTTGGAAATACAAAAGGCCGTAAAGATTACATACAAGATATCTAGCCTTACTTCGCCTAATATAAGGTCAATGGCCACTATATCGGATAATATTTTAGTGAATATTTATTAAGAAAATACTTTTAAAACATAACAGTTATTATATTGTAATTTTTAGAATATGTTTTTAAATTTTATGATTTGTACAACAATTGTACACTTCGGAATTTGTACAGTGATTATTGTACACGTCGCGAATTGTATAACGCAACTAGTACAATCTAGTTACTTTGTACAGCAACATGAGATGAGTGATTGTACAAAAATCACTGTATAAATTGCGAAATGTACAATTCTGGACTTTGTATGTAACATATATATATATATATATATACCTATTAGGTAATTATTGCCTATATAAATATTATTTGTACTACAGTGAAAACTGTCTAATGTAATAATAGCATGGGACCAATCAAAAATTCCGCTTTAAGCAGTTTTTCGCTTTATTGAATAAAACGGAAAAAGTCCTGATTATAAATTCATATCAGTTTTTTACATTAAAAAATTAATTTACAACATTTATAATTTTTATTTTTTGAGTTAGAAACTAATTATAATATTAATTTATTACTTTACTTTATATAACTTATTTTAGATTAATTATAGACTTATTTTCTTACAAAATTATTAACAATATTATATAACACATATTACAAAAATATGAACGTTGGGAATTAAATTTAAACATTTAGCTTTTCCAAAAATCATGTAGAATTTTTGTTTTTTCACTATTGTGCTATTTTTAAAATATTATATGTATTTGAATGGATAACACTTAGTATGTACAAGCAAATTGTTCAATGTAAGACTGTTGATGGCGTTGGTGCATAACTGTTTCACAGCTATACATTATATCATTGATTATACATACAAGATAAGTTTGTATAGCAGATAGTACGATAACCAAAAAATACAAATTACCTAACTAATATAATATGTAGACATGTAATACAGTTTTATCTTAGTTATCGTTTTACGATGTACCTAAATATTCATATCAACGTAACATGATGCGTGTCATATTTCCAGTTATGCAAGTTGTTTTTTAATTGCATTGGACCTACAAAACTGTTCCGTTTCCGCATTAGAAAAGTTACGTTTTATTGAGGTTCAACGTCTATATAAAACTATAGGAACATGCCGGGACCATAGAAAAGTTCCGTATTGGATAGTTTTCCTTTTTATTCGGGATCCGCATTATACAGTTTTCACTATATCAACTAATTTGGTACCAAATATATGTTTCTGTGGCTTTATTTGGTAGTTTTTATTTGCAGATAAGTTATTTGAATAAATTGTATTTGATTATTGTTGTTATTTTTTAAAAAAAAAATAATTATTGTTGACGTGAGAAAATTTTGCACCAATATGAAATAATATTATTGATAAATGCGTTGAATGTATTAAAAAAAAAATCACTTCAGTATCACGACATGGTAATTTATATCATATTTAATATATGTAACGATTAATCATGTATTATAATTTACAATATTATTAATACCCATTATCAAAATAATACAGTTTTTTATTTGATGTTTAATATATATTAGGTATCTATGAACCAACACGTATTTTTTAATTTACAGCCGAATGTATAATCTGGCCGTGAAACTGATATTTACAATTTTATATTTTAAAATATCACGTACCTATTATATTTGATTTTATTAAAAAAATACGTGCCAAGATTACACAAAATATAACAATATTGACTTTGTGCATAATATAAAAAATAAAGTCCATGGAAATGCGGTATTCGCGGGCTCACGACTCGTATCTCAGATAGATAGATTAAGGCTTAGTATATTATATATTCCGTGCCACGAGAAAACTCACACAGATCACGCATTTAAATGGCATACATCATGCAAAGTATGCAATTTCCCACCATATGGTGAAGGTTTTATATGAGGATGCGCAACGAAAGATAAATTTCGGCCGGCACAGGGTATAGATATATTTTTTCTTCATCATTTGCCATGACTGGTGATTGACCAAAATCGGTTGCTATTAGAGCTGCAATATAAATATTACAATAATATGGTTTACAATTTTGTGGAACGTAGTCTGATCAGCTGGTCTTAAAGCTTTAATAATAATAATAATAATATACGACACATGTTAATATAACAATCAAATGGCGATCAGCACTCATTTGTACTTGATACAATAAAAAAAGGTGATAGGTGGCCCACTTTCAGAACAAAAAGCAATTGATAAAAAATAATAATAATATTGGCGACGGACTATCCTACGACGATGGACAAAGCCATAGAAACTATTCACGTGTCACCTCGTATAAGACAGGTCAGTTATACTCGGAAAGATATAGTTTTCATTCCTAGGAAACATCTGACATAAACAGATAACAATAAAGTGGATTTTAAGCTGAGACTTCGAATACTATTCACTATGCAGGTAGTTTAATAATGCCTATTATATTCTTGATCCCAAATATTTGTCTTTGTCCTATATATATATACAGATACATCTCAACATACTTCAGTGAATTTGAATATAATATAATATTATTATCATAAAAACGTTGCAAGATAAACAAAACTAATATATTATAATATATTATATACAATTTTAATAAATTCGATTTTATACAAAATCTCAAAAACTATAAAAATATTATTATAAATTATAGTTTAAAAAAAATAAAATAAAGAAATTTATCAGTTTATCTTACATTTATACACAGATTTATATTTGTAATTTCGATTTTTCTCACCTAATTATCAATTTTTTGTAAATATTTTAATAAAATAAAAACAAAAAAATTTAAATTAGATAATTATTACAGTTTTAATATTAGATAATTTTATATGAAAATGTATAGCGAAAAGCGAGTTTTGGGTCGGCCGCTGCATGCATTCTCTCGTGGTACAGAATATATCAACAATTCAAGTTTATGATCACGCGTACAATAATGAATACGAAGATTTTACTGAAAAGGTACTAAATAATTTTTTTAATGAACTCCGTGCGAGAATCAAATCGGCCGACAGTAATTTATTGCAGATGTGCATTTTCTGATTTAACATTCTCTGTTTAACAAGTAACGGACATGCCGTACGATTTAGGGAGAAAGGGAGGGGCATTATGTGGCCACTGCAAATTCAATTATCTGCCGACAAATCATGGTTAGGTTAGGTATAAATGTTATAATAATAATTCATTTTTCGTTTTAGATGTTTTAGTTAGAACGCGTCATTTATGAAATAAAATTAAAATATTATTAGTAGTTAAATTAATATAAAAATATATACGATATATAATAATCTATTAATATGTATACTCTTTACCTACTTTATATAATATCGTGATATTTAAAT